TCTATCTTTCAAGCACCTCAGTACATACATTCTGAATAGTACAATATTTAGTCACTAGCCAACCTGGACTGGATTGATCGATCTCACAGCATTCCAGCAGCTTGCAACCAGCCATGCGATCCAGGCCGTCCATCCATTACCTCTGCTGTAATCTCAGCCGCCCGACGCATGAGCCTCTGTTCCGCCTCGGATTTGATCCACCGCTGCTCGTCCAGGACGCTACGGGACGACAGCAGCCGCCCGGTCGCCAGCTCAGCGGCAAGAACCGGCACTGTAGCAATCAGATCGTGATTGGCCCGATGGTCACAGTAGAAGCGAGGAGGTGGAGAGCGGTCGGAAGAGTAAGAGGAGGGGAGGGAGGAGGAAGAGGAGAGTCGGTGGGATGAGATGCGTTGTTGAGCCTCCAGCAGGTACTGAGGGAGAGAGTGCACGGGATGGGAAGGGGTCAGGGATTAAGGGGTGGGTGAGAAAAACTGAAAAAACGTAACGGAGTTACACACGTCCATCTAGCATTCGACATCGGCAATATGTAAACATATCCTGTGAATTCACTGCACAATCAACATGAATGGGTTGCAACGAATTCACTGTGTATGAGAGTACCTCGTCGAGAGCGCATCAACGAATAAGGGCCTGTCCGGTTTGAAGAAGGCCTTGGTAGCTGGTCGGTGGAGTGAACGAGTTGCATTTTTCAGTCGACTCAGACAGTGCTTCAAAAGTCATGAATGCCGAGCAACACAAGAAGAGAATGAACGTACCTCATTAAGAGAATCCACAAACAGGGCTCTGTCAGGTTTAAAGAAGGCCGTGGCAGCAGGGGGGTCCAAAGCCCTTCCATCCCACACCACCATCTGGGGGCGATAGAGTGGCGGGAACAGGGGGCAGAGGGGATTGAGTTGATAGGCTTTTTGGGCCCTGACTGCTATTCCACACCATTATCTGAGGGCGATTGATTTGAGATGGAGAAATTTGGGCGGCGTGAGGTAGGCTGTAAGTGTGAGGGTAGAACACGAGCGTGATGGGAGAGAGAAGAGATTGACGTGCCACCATGCCATACCATGCCCTGCCATGCCACCATCTCATGTCATGCCACCACACATGCTTGCACACCACACCACAACATGCATGGGTTGTATCTGCCATGCCTTGGCATCGCTATGTCACATGAAGCCCACCCACCAACGCACATCAGCTCGTTGCCGCGGTAAGAACAACGTGAACTGCACATCCCCTCCCCCTCCACCTCGTCCACCCTCCATCTCCCCACTCACTCCCCCACCCCCCCCCACCACCAGCACTATTTCCCAGATCAGCACCACCGCTCCCCCCATCCGCAGCACCACTCCCCCCATCGCTTTCTATCACAGCCACCACAGCCGGGTGCCAGCACCCCGTGAGGTAAATCAAATCTGAGTCTGGGCGGTAGGGGAACGGCACGATGCCGGCCATGTAGCGCACTGGAGCCGCGCCCACCACTAGCACGCTGCCACGTGGCAGGCGGAACATGACTGCCCTGCGCCGGGCGGCGAACTCTGACGCAGTGACAGATGGCAGGATATCATTGGGGCCGAGCAGCTGTGGGAGGTAGGAGTGAGAGGGGGGATGAGAGGAGAGGGGATGAGGGGGAGAGCAAGAGGGAAAGGGAAGGAAGGTGGGAAGAGTAAGGGAATTGTGAAAATGGCGTGTTTTTAAGAATTCCCTAGAAGGCGGTTGGAGTGCATTGCTCAGCACCCTGCAGCCAATCGATGCTTTCCTTCTCCCCCTGCTCGTCCCCCCATTCCACGCCCTAGCCACCTCAAGCTTCGAGGCGTCTCAAAACACTCCCTAGTCTCCTCACTCCTCTGTGGAGTGGCGGAGACTCGTCTCCTCCACATTGCCTCGCCAACAATGTGCCTCTCTCACACAAAGTGACTTTTGAGTCGACTCAAAAGTCACCTTGGAAACTGGTCTCCTCCACATTGCCTCAGCAACAATGTGCCTCTCTCACACACACACTCCTCCACTCCAACCCCAGGCGAGACGCCTCACAAACAGACCCTTCCTGGTTTGGTTCCCACATCTCTTCTCTTCGCCTCAACCCCCCCACCCCCAAACCCCGAACCCTTTATTTCCGTTATGTCCAACCCGTCTTTCCCACTCCCCTCTCCCCCTATCCATGCTCTCCCCATTCCTCCTCCTCTCTCCTCACCTCTGAATGCCTGTCCACTCCTCTCCAAGTTCCCCCATTCTCTCCCTCTCCTCCTCCCCGCCCCCGCCCATCCAGCCCCCGACCATCCAGCCCCCGCCCTTATCAACTCCCCACCTTCTCCTCCGCAGATTTCCCTCCTCCCCCTGCTCCCCCTCCTCCCCATTCCCCTACTCCCCTTTCCTCCTCTCTCACCTCAGAGTGGCTCTTGTGCGTTGATTGCCCACTCCGCTCCCACTTCCCCACCTCTTCCCCCGTAATTTCTGCCCCCTCCCCCTCCCGTTCCGCCAACTGCCTCCTCCCATCTCCCCTCTCTTCCTGCCCTCCACCCCCCTCCCTCCCTCTCCTCCTCTCTCACCTCCGGGTGGCTCTCGTGAGTCGGCTGTCCCACCTCCACGGGGCCGCCATCCCGCCAATCACCTGCTGCCACCTGTAGACCTCGGCTGCAGCTGTGCTTCCAGCTGGCGACACACTGATCCGCGGTATTAGCGGGCGAGGACGCGGAGATTCGATACGGGGGGATTTGATAGTAGGAGATTTGGGATTTGGAGATCTGATTCACGCTCGGTATTCTGTGGGAGCTAAGGCAACTTCCCTGGTTGAGGTCTAGGTTATATTCTGCACTGCAAAGGGGTGCGACCGCGGCGCGCGAAGGTGACTGGGTGGGAGATGGAATTAGGACGGACGGCCACGATGATGCCGACGGGAAGATCGAGCGGTACTTGCGACGACCTCTCGCGAGGCGCCACATGGCGACACGTGACTCGCGAGGCCACGACGTGGACTACTGTTCAGGCTTGGGGCGTGGAAGCGAGCCGATAGGCGGAAATTACCTGTTCCCAGCCTGTGCGGCCCCCGGTTTCTAGACAGGGCGTACTTGTCAAAAGGGTAAGCCTGGGTTTGTGGTGATATGGATTTTCAAATCAGCTAGCATTCTCAATTAACAAACCAGGTTTATTCAATTTATATTCCCTTAACGAGTCATGATCATCGGGTACGGAGACGTGGGGATTGACCCGTTTTGGAAAAGCGCGGCAGAATAATTCGCTGTAAAGGATGGTTGACAGAGAAGAAGCCGATTGGTTGCTATGTTTTCGATTGCTCGACGATCGCCGCCAATGTTTGTTTCGTTCTCCTTGAAAAATTGCCGGCGACTCTCGCGAGGTACTTCGTGAGTATCTGGTTACAAATTCCGGCGACAGAACGTTGTCCCGATTCTTCGTTGTCGGACTCCAATGTCAGACTTATATTTCAGGTCATTACACTCGTAGCGTATTTCATAGGGGATTCTTTTATACCGCGAATTTTGCAACCTGCCAGGGCCGCCGCGCCATGTCCGCATCAGCGCGCGCCGCATCACTCGCTTGGCTTCCGCTTCTCCGCTCCCGCGCGCTCCCCGCCCTTCCTCTTTGCGCTACCGTCCCTTTCTCCCCTGCCTCGCCTTTGCGCGCCCCTCTCCCTCCGCCGTCTGGTTCCGCCTTCCGCGCGCGCTTTCACGCAGCGGAAGCTCCGCCTTCGCAGATTCAATCTCGTCTCGGCGCTAGAACCGACCGCGTACTTTCCCGCGCAAGCGCTTTCACTCCCCGCTTTGCGCCAGCGGCCCGGGGCTCGCGCGCGATCAGCGGAGCTTCACCACGCGTATCCCCCCACGCAGCTGCTGATTCGCGGAAGCCGGAAATGGCGCACGCGGGGACTAGCGAGGAAAGGGGAGCTTCGGGGGAGCGGGCGGAGCGGAAAGTTGCGCCGTTCGGGGCGTGGGAATCCCCCATCGGCGCAGATATGGCGAGCGGCGCAAGCCTGCGCTTCGGGGGGGCGGCGGTGGATAGCGCGGGGCGCCTGGTGTGGGCGGAGGGCAGACCCACGGAGAAGGGGTGAGCAATTAACAGTTAGTTGTTGATGTGATTCAAACGAGGGCTAGCATGTTCTGAGTTGACTCAAAACACGGTGCATGGCGCGGGGCGCCTGGTGTGGGCGGACGGCAGACCCACAGAGAAGGGGTGAGCAATTCACCACCTAGTAGTGGATGTGACTAAAAAGAGGGTTGGGCGAACTGCAGTGCAAACTTGGAATGGATGTGACTGTATGACATGGGACTGGAATGAAATCGAGGTGGTCAGAAATGGTGTTTGTGAAAGGGCCACCAATCAGGGCAAAGCAGTGCTTGCTATAATGGCCGTGGATGTGATTATAGCGATGGATTTGACTCTAGCTGCATGTTCTCTCTTTCCCTGTCACTAGGATTAATGAGGTGCCTCATAAGGCGAATTCTGAGGCACCTCCATTTGAAATCCCTTCGTCACTTGGATTAGAATCCCTCCATCTCTTTGCAAGAGGCCACATGCAAAGGTCGTCTCACTCTCACTCTCCATTCTCCCCCACCCCTCCTGACCCCCCCTTGCAGTCGGGTGGTGGTGGTGAGGGAGGGGACACGTGGCGCAACCCCATTGGACGTCTCACCTCCCTCCATGAGCGTGCGATCCCGCGTGCACGAGTACGGCGGAGGAGCCTTTCTGGTCGCCCCCTCTCCTCCTCCTCCTGCCACGTCTACTGCCACGGCGGATGCCACGTCAGCAGCTGAACATGTGCCGAGCGATCTGCTGATCTTTTCCAACGGAGCCGATCAACGGCTGTATGTGCTCGAGATGCCATCTGGCGGCTCAGATTCTGCCGAAGGTGCGTCCACCGTTTTGGTATGTATGTGATTGCTATGTACTTGGTATGTGTGATGGATGGGCACATACAATCCGCATTGATGCATGTAATCAGCACTAAACCCTATCTTTCCATCTCCTCTCCCCCAAAATTTAACCTCTCCCATCTCCCTCCTCCCTCCTCCTCCCCCCCCGTTTCATTCTCTCCCTCCCCAACCCATCCCACAGTGCCCCAGCCACGTCCGCTGACACCTGTCGTCGAGCCACCTGGCGCGCTGCGATTCGCTGACACCCGGTTGGACGCATGCCGGAGGCGAGTGATATGCGTACAGGAGGGTGAGTTGTGAGGCGTTTGGGAAGCGCACCGTGAGTACCCCGTTGGTTCTGGGAAACGCGAGTGGTGTGGGAGCAGAGCAGGACGTTTGAGATTCTTGGGAAGAGGAGCGCGAGTAATTTCCGTCCAGGAGGGTGAGTTATGAGACGTTTGGGAAGCGGACCGCGAGTACCCCAGTGGTTCTAGGAAACGGGACTCCGAGTGGTGTGGGAGCAGAGCAGGATGCCTGAGACGTCTGGGAGGAGGAGCATGAGTGATAAACGCCCAGGAGGGTGAGTTGTGAGATGTCTCAAGGCTTGCTCGAGAAGGTGAGGATTGCGAATAGCATGAGTGATACCCGCGTAGTACGCGGGGGAGTCAGGATCTGCCTTCCCCACGGGCCTCCTGAATGCCGGATCCATTTTGTTGCCTTGCTGCTTCTTCGTAGTGTGCCGCTGCAAATATTGGTTCTGGGACGTCCCAAAAATGAATTGGTTCTTTCAAAACCGTTGTTATTTTATCACAACCTGCTGCCTGCAAGCTCAATTCATTCCAAGGCCCTGCTGCTGCTTCATAGTCCGCTGCTGCTTCATAGTCCCCTGTTGCCCCTTCCCAGTACCTGTCGAGCTGCATTCGTTCATGATCCTTTTTCCCTTGCCACTTTCCATTGCCCGTTTTCTTTGCCCCTTTTCATTGCCCGTTTTCTTTGCCTCTTTTCATTGCCCGTTTTCTTTGCCTCTTTTCATTGCCCGTTTTCTTTGCCTCTTTTGATTGCCCGTTTTCTTTGCCTCTTTTCATTGCCCGTTTTCTTTGCCTCTTTTCATTGCCCGTTTTCTTTGCCTCTTTTCATTGCCCGTTTTCTTTGCCTCTTTTCATGGCCCGTTTTCTTTGCCTCTTTTCATTGCCCGTTTTCTTTGCCTCTTTTGATTGCCCGTTTTCTTTGCCTCTTTTCATTGCCCGTTTTCTTTGCCTCTTTTCATTGCCCGTTTTCTTTGCCTCTTTTCATTGCCCGTTTTCTTTGCCTCTTTCCATTGCCCGTTTTCTTTGCCTCTTTCCATTGCCCGTTTTCTTTGCCTCTTTCCATCGCCTGTTTTCTCTGCCTCTTTCCATTGCCCGTTTTCTTTGCCCTTTTCATGCTTCAAATGGCAGACCATCGCCAAATCAATGGTGGCGGGGGCGGAACAGAGGAGCACGGGGGACATGGCGAGCCGAGTAACATGCTTGTGGCTGTTTCGTTGGATAGCGATGGGACAGAAGGTGAGTTGGTTAACTGTTTTGCATCTCACTCTTCAGTCCAGTCCGCATGAAGATTATGGCGAGAATGGTGAGGAACAGAGGAGCATGGCAAGCCGAAGAGTAACATGATTGTGGCAGTTTCTCTGGACAGTGATGGTACTGAAGGTGAGTTGAGAACTTGCTTGGACCTCACTCTTGAATTGAGACAACAGCAAAGGGAGCATGGGGATGTTGCCTCACCCGTGTGAACCACTCGTCTGAGATGATTTCTCCACGCAATCACCCCCTCTTCAACCCTCAACTTTCCCAGTCCCTGTAGTGCTGGCATCTGGTGCAGTGTTTTGAGACGTCTCAAAACAAGCATCTGGCGCAGACCTCTATGCTTCGCCCATCTGAGCCCGGATGGCAAGCAGCTGGCATGGATGGAGTGGAGCCACCCGACTTGCACTCTTCACCATGCCTGAGCCAGTTCTGTTCCATGCGCCTCCCCTCGCCACTCCTTGCCCCTTTCCCTTCCCAGTTCCCCGTGGTGCTGGCGAGTGGAGCAGACTTCTACGCATCCCCACGCCAGAGCCCCGATGGCAAGCAGGTGGCATGGATCGAGTGGAGTGCGACCAACTTGTACGCTTCACCCTGACTGAGCCGGTTCCATTCCATCCACCTCCCCTTCCCCACTGACCGACCCTTTCCCCTCCAGTCCCCGTGGTGCTGGCGAGTGGAGCAGACTTCTATGCATCCCCACGCCTGAGTCCGGATGGCAGGCAGCTGGCATGGATGGAGTGGAGCCACCCGCACATGCCGTGGGAGAGGAGTCGGGTGATGGTGGGAACATTCGATGATGATGGGTACGTTGAGGCATGGTGCGGTGTGGTGCGGTGTGGTGTGGTGCAAGGGGCAGCTGGCGTGGATGGAGTGGGACCACCCCCACATGCCGTGGGAGAGGAGTCGGGTGATGGTCGGGACATTCGATGATGATGGGTATGTTATGCTGTGGCATGAGTTTGGCATCGCATGGGTGTGTGTGTGTGTGTGTGTGTGTGTGTGTGTGTGTGTGTGTGTGTGTGTGTGTGTGTGTGTGTGTGTGTGTCTTTGTGTGGTGATGTGTGGGGAGGGTAACCACCCAGCTGGCATGGATGGAGTGAGCCACCCGCACATGCCGTGGGAGTGAAGCCGCGTGATGGTCGAGACGTTTGATGACAATGGGTAGGTTGAGGCGTGGTGCGGTGCAGCGTGGTGGATTGTGGTGTGGTGTGGTGCAAGGGGCAGGTGGCATGGATGGAGTGGAGCCATCCCCACATGCCATGGGAGAGAAGCCGCGTGATGGTGGGGAAGTTTGATGACGACGGGTGGGTATGTTGAGGCGTGGTGTGACGGTTATGTGTGTCTGTGTGACATGGCATGGGTAAAATGGACCCATCCACACATGTCATGGGAGAGGAGCCGCGTGATGGTCCGGTCCGGGCATTTGATGACACCAGGTATGTGACGGGCATTCGGGTGTTGTGTGGTCGGCTCTCTACTGCCCACTCTCCACTTTTGAGGCGCCTCAAAAGTGGAGAGTGGGCAGTAGAGTAATGGGTATTGGGGTATTGTATGGTTGGCTCGCCGTTGCCCACCCTCCAATCCCCAGTGTCCATCCCCCAACCTGCATTTCCGCAATCCACTCCCCTCCTCTCACTGCAATGTGTCGCAGCAAAAGCTCCTTGAATGAATCAGGTCAAATAGCATCTTGCTCCTTTCTTCCACACCCGCTCTCTCCTCTCGCCCCACCTGTCCCCTCCCAGTCGCCTCACCTCAGTGCAATGTGCAGCAGGAGCAGATGCTGCCACGCCAGAAGCACCCATGGATCCACCTGGCATCTCTCCCCATCTCTTTCCGTTCCTTCCTCCTCTCGCCCCACCTCCCCTCCAGCCTCCTCACGTTGGTGCAGTGTGCAGCAGGTGCAGATGCTGCCATGATTGAAGCACCCATGGAGCCCCTCTGGTCGCCACAAGGTAAGAAACAAGAGGGGCCACCGTTATGTGGTAACCAGCATACGTGTGAATAGCATAGCACATATGGGTCACAGGCCATCCATAACCGCTTAATCCCAGCCCAGCCACTAGTAGGTGTATGTTTTTTGAGAATTCTCAACATACTGACCGCCAATCTGCCCTGCTGGTAACTACTGACTGCTGCTCCCCCCTCGTCCCTCTTTTGAGGCGCCTCAAAACTGACTGCTGCTCCCCCCTCGTCCCTCTTTTGAGGCGCCTCAAAACTGACTGCTGCTCGCCCCTCGTCCCTCTTTTGAGGCGCCTCAAAACTGACTGCTGCTCGCCCCTCGTCCCTCTTTTGAGGCGCCTCAAAACTGACTGCTGCTCCCCCCTCGTCCCTCTTTTGAGGCGCCTCAAAACTGACTGCTGCTCGCCCCTCGTCCCTCTTTTGAGGCGCCTCAAAACTGACTGCTGCTCCCCCCTCGTCCCTCTTTTGAGGCGCCTCAAAACTGACTGCTGCTCGCCCCTCGTCCCTCTTTTGAGGCGCCTCAAAACTGACTGCTGCTCCCCCCTCGTCCCTCTTTTGAGGCGCCTCAAAACTGACTGCTGCTCCCCCCTCGTCCCTCTTTTGAGGCGCCTCAAAACTGACTGCTGCTCCCCCCTCGTCCCTCTTTTGAGGCGCCTCAAAACTGACTGCTGCTCCCCCCTCGTCCCTCTTTTGAGGCGCCTCAAAACTGACTGCTGCTCGCCCCTCGTCCCTCTTTTGAGGCGCCTCAAAACTGACTGCTGCTCCCCCCTCGTCCCTCTTTTGAGGCGCCTCAAAACTGACTGCTGCTCCCCCCTCGTCCCTCTTTTGAGGCGCCTCAAAACTGACTGCTGCTCGCCCCTCGTCCCTCTTTTGAGGCGCCTCAAAACTGACTGCTGCTCGCCCCTCGTCCCTCTTTTGAGGCGCCTCAAAACTGACTGCTGCTCCCCCCTCGTCCCTCTTTTGAGGCGCCTCAAAACTGACTGCTGCTCCCCCCTCGTCCCTCTTTTGAGGCGCCTCAAAACTGACTGCTGCTCCCCCCTCGTCCCTCTTTTGAGGCGCCTCAAAACTGACTGCTGCTCCCCCCTCGTCCCTCTTTTGAGGCGCCTCAAAACTGACTGCTGCTCCCCCCTCGTCCCTCTTTTGAGGCGCCTCAAAACTGACTGCTGCTCCCCCCTCGTCCCTCTTTTGAGGCGCCTCAAAACTGACTGCTGCTCCCCCCTCGTCCCTCTTTTGAGGCGCCTCAAAACTGACTGCTGCTCCCCCCTCGTCCCTCTTTTGAGGCGCCTCAAAACTGACTGCTGCTCCCCCCTCGTCCCTCTTTTGAGGCGCCTCAAAACTGACTGCTGCTCCCCCCTCGTCCCTCTTTTGAGGCGCCTCAAAACTGACTGCTGCTCCCCCCTCGTCCCTCTTTTGAGGCGCCTCAAAACTGACTGCTGCTCCCCCCTCGTCCCTCTTTTGAGGCGCCTCAAAACTGACTGCTGCTCCCCCCTCGTCCCTCTTTTGAGGCGCCTCAAAACTGACTGCTGCTCCCCCCTCGTCCCTCTTTTGAGGCGCCTCAAAACTGACTGCTGCTCCCCCCTCGTCCCTCTTTTGAGGCGCCTCAAAACTGACTGCTGCTCCCCCCTCGTCCCTCTTCCTCTCCCCTCTCCCTTTCCGTTTCACTCCAGGCGATCTCTATTTCCTCTCAGATCGCGTTACCGGCTTCTGGGCTCTGCACCGATGGGTGGGTCTTACTGCTCCGCTCAGGTGTTACCTGCTCTGTTCAGGTTATACCTGTTCAGGTTATACCTGCTCAGGTTATACCTGCTCAGGTTATACCTGTTCAGGTTATACCTGTTCAGGTTATACCTGCTCAGGTTATACCTGTTCTGTTCAGGTTATACCAGCTCAGGTTATACCTGCTCAGATTATGCCTGGTCAGGTTATACCTGCTCAGGTGGTATGTAACCAGCTGTTATCTTGCATCAACGCCTCGTCTTGTTTTAGCCCACTACCTCTTCATATGTTCTTTTCATGTCGTGCGTGCATGTTGTTTGCTTGCCACCATGTGACTCAATGAAAGTTCTCTGAAGCGACTCAAAAGAGAGATCTCAAGAGTGCATGCACACGTGCTGTCTTCTGCCCACCTTACCATGCGCTGTCTGTCTTCTGCCCACCTTACCATGCGCTGTCTGTCTTCCTTTCCTGCCTGCTCCCTGCTTCCCCCTGCCTCCTGCCTGCTGCCTGCTGCCTGCTGCCACATCAGGCACAGCAGAACCCCGTTAACCTCAACAGCTGCATCCCCCATCCTCCCTGACCCCACAAGCGTCTGCTGCTCTCTGCTCTGCAGAACCCCACATTAGGCACAACGGAAGCAGTGGCAGACGTGCCAAAGCACAACGGAGCCGATCTGCTGGTGGAGGTGGGGGGACCCCTCTGGGTGTTCCACTAGCCTCAAAAGCTGCTTCTGCCATCCTCTCTTCCTATCTGCTGCCTGCATCCCACCCTGCTTCCTACAGAACCCCACATCACGCACAGCAGAGGCGGTGGCAGACATGCCGAAGCACGAGGGAACCGATCTGAAGGTGGAGGTGGGGGGACCCCTCTGGGTGTTTGGGAATGCGAGCTACGCGTTTATCCCCGGCAGCTCGCACCACGTGGCTGTTATCTGCCAGTGAGTTGTTATGTGTCACTGTGGCCTGTACTAACTAACAGTAGAGGTGGGGGGACCCCTCTGGGTGTTTGGGAATGCGAGCTACGCGTTTATCCCCGGCAGCTCTCACCACGTGGCTGTTATCTGCCAGTGAGTTGCTATTGTCACTGTGGCCTGTACTAACTAACAGTGGAGGTGGGGGGACCCCTCTGGGTGTTTGGGAATGCGAGCTACGCGTTTATCCCCGGCAGCTCGCACCACGTGGCTGTTATCTGCCAGTGAGTTGCTATGTGTCACTGTGGCCTGTACTAACTAACAGTGGAGGTGGGGGGACCCCTCTGGGTGTTTGGGAATGCGAGCTACGCGTTTATCCCCGGCAGCTCGCACCACGTGGCTGTTATCTGCCAGTGAGTTGCTATGTGTCACTGTGGCCTGTACTAACTAACAGTGGAGGTGGGGGGACCCCTCTGGGTGTTTGGGAATGCGAGCTACGCGTTTATCCCCGGCAGCTCGCACCACGTGGCTGTTATCTGCCAGTGAGTTGCTATGTGTCACTGTGGCCTGTACTAACTAACAGTGGAGGTGGGGGGACCCCTCTGGGTGTTTGGGAATGCGAGCTACGCGTTTATCCCCGGCAGCTCGCACCACGTGGCTGTTATCTGCCAGTGAGTTGCTATGTGTCACTGTGGCCTGTACTAACTAACAGTGGAGGTGGGGGGACCCCTCTGGGTGCCATCATGCTGTCATCTGCCAGGAATTGATTTTTTAGGCGCCTACTCAACCCAATTCGTATTCCCTGCTACGAACAACTATTATCATCACTCCACCCACTCACTCTCATTCACTCACTCTCTCACTTCCATAATTCCTGTCGCCCTCCCCTCTTCCTCTCAGAGTGAACGGTTGGTCTCAGGTGCAGAACATCGACGCTCATACTTACTGATTGCACACCCATTCCCTCTCTTACTTCCACCCTCCCCCCTTCATCTCAGAGTGAAAGGACAGTCTCAGCTGGGAATCATCGACACTCACACTCGCGCCTTCACACTCACTCCTCCCTTCCACCCTCCTCTCACTCAGATGTCCCACCTGGTAAGCAGTTACCACTCACTCCTCCAATGCACTCCAGCCCTCCAGTAACCGTGTTCCTCCTTGTAACCACAATTCTGGAACCAGAGTCAGACATAATTTAAAGTCTTTTAAGTTCCTCGTCCCACCATGCCACCGTATACCAAGTCTAACTTCTAGACATTTCAAAGCCCAGTTTTCTGCATACTTCTTGCTAAAACAATGCCTGGTAAGTGGTTACCACTCACTCCCATGCTCTCATTGACTTCCTCTGTCATCTCTCTAGCATGCCCCCTATTGCCAATCGTAGTCTTCCTGTATAAGCCAGTCTTTTTTTTTTTAAATAGCTCTAGCTGCGCAGGTGTTGTTTGTTTGGCAAATACTGCTAAGCTGGGCGTATAACTGGCATTACACTACACCACACTGCACCACACTACACTTTTCCTCGATTCAGGTCTGTGGGGAATTTTTTTTGTCCAACTGAGATTTAGAAAAACGGCTCAACACATAGCTTTTCTGATCACTCATGGCATTATGATTCACAAAACCATAATGCCATGACATCGCAGCATCAACATCACATTACTCGCATCACATCTTCGCACACACGCATTTCTATGAGCAGGTGGCCGGCAAGGATCGTCTTTTTGTGTGTGCTGGCGGCCCCTCCACGCCGCTCTCGTTCTTTGAGGTATTATTGTGTGTATCTGCATCAGTGCTTCAAAGTGGTTCTGTGCGGTACTCTCGGTCATGACCCCAGTGCAAGACACCCACCTTGCCATTTACATCATTTGAGCGTTGTCTTATCTTTTTCTTTGAGGAGTGGGAGGGGGCAAGCATACCTCCATGTGTGTTTTGAGTCGACTCAAAACACACCTGGAGTGGGAGGGGGCAAGCATTCCTCCATTTATTCTCTTCTTTTTTTGTCATGCCCCCTCCCACTCCTCCAGCTGAAGCCCTCCCCAGATATGACCTCTCTACAAGTCATCTACCCTCCCATCCGCGTGTCAACAACCATCCACACCGCGTCCCTTGCCCCTTTCTGTTTGTGATGCGTTTGTGCCTTGTGCTGCTTGCCCTTCCTGCACCCTTCCCACTCCTCCAGCTGAAGCCCTCCCCAGATATGACCTCCCTGCAAGTCATCCACCCCCCCATCCGCCCGTCAACAACCATCGACACCGCGTCACTCGCCCCCTTCCTCTCCTCGCCTCAATGGATCGAGTTTCCCACCACCACCCCACCAGCCCAAGCAACCTCACCAGCCAATGCACTTCACACCACACCACACTCCTCCACACCCAACCGCACCGCACACGCGCTCTTCTACCCACCTGCCAGCGGCACCTTTCAAGGGCCGCAAGGGGCCCTCCCGCCTCTGCTGGTGAAGTGCCACGGGGGGCCCACGGGGTGCCTCGACTCTGCTCTCCGCCTGCCGCTGCAGTTCTGGACTTCCAGAGGCTTCGCTGTCGTGGATGTGAATTACGGGGGGAGCACTGGTGAGTCACATGAGGGAGGGGAGATGGGGGTGGTGGTGGGGGGAAACCGCTCTGGTGGCTGTGCTTAGGCAGTCCCAGAAAGAAACCGTTCCAAGGCCCGCAAGTAGCGCTCACTCCCTCCTCTGCTGGTGAAGTGCCACGGGGGGCCCACGGGGTGCCTCGACTCTGCTCTCCGCCTGCCGCTGCAGTTCTGGACTTCCAGAGGCTTCGCTGTTCTGGATGTGAACTATGGGGGCAGTACAGGTGAGTGGGACTGGGGCAGCACACCACAGCACACCACACTCCTCACACTCCGCACCCCCTTGCACAGCACACACGCGCCCTAGTCTCTTCTGAGTTAGTCCCAGATATTCTTTCAAGGGCCGCAAGGGGAGCTGCCCCCTCTGCTGGTGAAGTGCCACGGCGGCCCCACGGGGTGCCTCGATTCTGCTCTCCGCCTGCCGCTGCAGTTCTGGACTTCCGGAGGCTTCGCTGTTGTGGATGTGAACTGCGGGGGGAGCACGGGTGAGTGAGTGGGATGGGGGCAGCACAACAAACTACCCTTGGCAACCACAATAACTGCAGTTCTGGACTTCCAGAGGCTTTGCCGTGGTGGATGTGAAAGGAACTACGGCAAAGCCTCTGGGGAGAGCACTGGTGAGTGGGATGGGATGGGAGTGGTGCGGGCAGCACTGGTGAGTGGGGTGGGGTGGGAGTGGTGCGGGCAGCAGTGGTTTACCACGCCATGCCACGCCATGCGACACCATCGCATGCCATCCCATCCCATGCCATCATGCCACACACACCAAGGTACGGTAGGGGCGGCTGCATGGGCAGTAGGAGTGGAGAAGGTTGACGATGCCATCCCATGCCATGCCTGTTAGTGCTAGTCCTCAATCTCACACTTTGTACTTTATATTTTCTATATCCTAGAGTAGTGTAGTTTGCACTTTGTGTTTGGTTGGGTGTACACCTACATCCCAACCAAACCCAAATGTAATCTCCAAGCAATCTCCAACCCACCAATTGGAGATCGCCTTTGGATTACCCCCAATCCCTAGGGATTGCCCCCGATTCCCTTCCCCATCCATTCCTTGCCCTTCTTGGATGTACTTAAAGAGCTTCAAGTTCATTACTAATGCATCAGTTCTGAGCTTAAGTTCTGACATGGTATAAGAGCCCTTCAACCGCACACGCGGATCGTGATCCTCCTATCTTTGCGGATGCTCGTCCTGCAAAACTCGGCGTAGCCACCCTCAATCTCGTCGCCGGTGATTCGCGACATTCGTCGGCGGAAATTCTCCCGCACCACCTTCCCGTCAACTTCGACGACATCTACTATATTTCTGGTGAGCGCATTGTCGGCGCCGTAACATATCGCTCCTTTTCGCTAAACATCATCGCGTCATCTCTTCTCCTCGTCGCGCCGTCGCCCGTCGCCCTGCAGCTTCTCGTCGGGCTGCCGCCCGTCGCCCTGCAGCTTCTCGTCGGGCCACCGCCTGTCGCCCCGCAGCTTCTCGTCGGGCCGCTGCCCGTCGCCCTGCAGCGTCACCTTCGGGCTGCCGCCCGTCGCCCCGCATTTGCACTTCTACCCCCATCCCCCCCTTCCCGCAGCTGAACAGGTGCAGCAACGCAGCCGAGCAGCAGCGTAGCCGAGCAGCCGTGTAGCCGCGAAGCCGAGCAGCAGTGTAGCCGCGAAGCTGAGGGTGGTGTGTGGGGGGGTGTGTGGGAATAGGGTTAGCTCTACGGCAATCGGCCGATTTAACCTAATTTTGGCGCCCTAAAAAATCATTCTACAAGGCATCCTGACACGGTCGACATTGACGATTTTTGCTATTTATATCCGTCGGATTCGAAATCGAAGTTCCTATCAGTGACTTAAGAGCGGCGCTCCGCGCAAGACATTAAGGGGCCTTCATCATGGCCTTCCCCTCGTCCACCATGGCCAACCCCATCACC